TCCAACACTGATAACCCCCTATCAAAATCTTACGTTAACACTTGTCTCTCAAGACACAAACAACAATAGTAAACACTAATTGAATTCAAGAACAATTACGTTAATTGACCGTCCACAGCAGTCAGCAACAACTCAGTTACGTTAGTACAACCAGGTCTCAACGACACTCAAATGACCAATAACTCGAAGGCCCTTAATTACACCACTTGACACGTCAAGCATTCTGTGAGTAATTCCCATTTAATTACTGTCACACCGACAGCCTATTAATCCAGAGGAGTTATGATCGACACTGCTGTCACCCAATCGACAGGTGCCTCTCCGGTCTTATGACAAAATAACATTAACGAGAGTATTATTACTCTACTTAACTATGTTATTCTACACCCCTCCATAGGCAAGCAACATTATCTACTGTGAATTCGCCAAGAGGCGGTTGCTAATCCCCTTGAATCAGCTCCTAGTGCTTAATCAGCTGTCCTGAAGACAGATCCGATTAGTCCACCAAATAATGATAGCTCAATTGACTTGACCCATGACAAGTAGTCAACACTTTACGTTTATTAATTACTAATTACCGACAGCTTATTAATTCGTTAACATTACTTTACTCGTCCTCCCAGCAATTCCTCACCACTGAGCGAACTCACCGTTAACAGATGGTAATTACACAAATTAGCAAGAGGTGCCCAACTAACTGTCACACGGACAGGTAATGGCACCCTCATATTACGCTATTCTCAACACTGTTCAACACATCAATACGCTCATTAAACAATGTGTCCCCCAGTGACGTCAATGACTTCAAATTCTCACGGAATCCTCCATAGTTCACCACGTACTACACCAAGGACATTGTCATACAGTTTACACTACACGGTACAACTTTGCTCCCCATGGCAACTGAAAGTCACACTTTCACAGTTAATTACTTCAAGAATAATTCACGGCCCTAATCACATATCACACAACAGTATAAAAAGCGCTGGCCAATGTATATATGTAATAGAAATTAGAAATATGTGTAGAATAATAAACCCCACATTGTTTGTGTTAGGAAAACACTATTTGTCAAATATTGATACTGTTCTTAAAAGATTTCCCCCATTTTGCACCCGCAAGATAACGTAAGCTTTTAAGGGTTGATAGATGTTAATCTTCTTGTATGAGGAACTGTTCACTTGAGACAGTTAAGCAAGTCCCAGCTGTGTCTGTGTACAAGTGACAGGATGAACAACCCAGCGGGTTTTCTTCCTTTTGGGGGGTGTTGTACATGCTGCTATGGCCTCGTAGGCCATAGCAGCATGTACATGCTGCTATGGCCCCATAGCATTGTACATGCTGCTATGGGGGCCTCGTAGCCTGGTGGATAGCGCGCAGGACTCGTGATTCTGTGGCGCGGGTTCGATTCCCGCACGAGGTAGAAACAAATGGGCAAAGTTTCTTTCACTCTGAATGCCCCTGTTACCTAGCAGTAAAATAGGTACCTGGGAGTTAGTCAGCTGTCACGGGCTGCTTCCTGGGGGTGGAGGCCTGGTCGAGGACCGGGCCGCGGGGACACTAAAGCCCCGAAATCATCTCAAGATAACCTCAAGATGGCGGTGTGTCCACTCATAGGATGAGTGGCGCTGCCCAATAAACTCGCCCCTCGGGGCAAAATTTAAATTTAAATAAGAGCTACAGAAGGCCTATTGGCCCATACGAGGCTCCCATTTATAACCACTAATGGTTTATGGGCTCTTAGAATAAGAGCTGCATCAAAAGGCCCACACATGGATAATAATAGCATAAGATAGTAAATATTTGCAATGAATTACTGAGACAAATGTGTATCAATGATCCTACTCAAATCACCTTTTAATTGATCTATCAAAAATGGATCTAAATTATATAAACCACTGCTAATGTTCAAATTGCATTCTTTTGTAATCTGTACTAAAGCTGATTCAATTATGTTCCTATTGAAAGGGATTTTAACAATTCGTTATTGAAGAAGCCATCTCCCAATCAATTTGGTAAGAATTTTCTGACAAATGAACAAATAAAGCATTAAACAATTGGCCATGCTGTTACAGAGTATTTATATTGCGAACACAAGATGAAAGGCCGGAAGAAATACTAAATGAAATTGTGGAAGAGGTGAATAAATCTTGGGGGAACTAGTGTGACAAAATCAATGATGCCAGACCTAATATCACTATTGCTGCTGAAGAAGGTCGCAGAAGTGTTACCCGTTGTCTAAACAAAATTAATAAAATGGTTGAGACAGGAAGTCACCCAGATGTCTATATAGTGGCAAACATAGTCTCAATATTGCAAAACAGGAGATAGAAAGGAGGCACTAAACTAGAGACCAGTGTCACTGACAGGTATTCCTTGTAAAGTGCTGAAGAAAGTAATCAGGTTGAGAATGGTGAAGCATCTTGATAGGATCGAGGTGTCACATAGCCTTCCCGGCTTGGTTCCTTCTTTTGATAATTACTTACTTGATAGGATCGACTGTGGCAAAAAATCTGCATAAATTTAGAAGTGGAAAATCGTGGCTGACAAACTTGATTGAGTTTTATGACAGGGTTGTTAAAATATAACAGAAAGCGGAAGAAAGGGTACACGGCAATTTTTCGATGTCAAAAAAGGCATTTGACACTGTTCCCCATAAAAGACTGGTGTACAAGAAGAAGCAGGCTAGAATAACTGGGGAAACACTGGACTGTGTAAGGGAGTACCTGAAGGGGGCCTTATTTCTAACTATGCCAAAAATATGCAATAAATGAAAACTAGTTCGATTTCAATCAAACTTTTTTGATTAGTTGTATATGAAAAAGGTTTTCATCTGGTCCGAGTCTCAGCGTCGTAGTAAAAATAGGAAGGGAGAAAAAATTATTTAATTATGTGACAATTTGTTTTTTAAATGATAAAAAATGAACATCAAACACAAGTGTCAACTGAAATCATGTCTATGACTCTCAGCTATCACAATAGCATATAATAAAAAAATTAATAATTATTTTTATCCCCACAAAAATTTAGCTAAAAAAAATGATTTTTTTTTTCTTATTTGTTTATCGAACGATTTGCATGAAACTTATACACCTAACTGCACGTAAGCTTATCTGTAAGGGTACCAATTCTGGAGGAAATTGGTTGATGTCAAGCTCAGCCACAGATGGCAGCACCTTAGACTTCATTTTTTAATAATTTCTTTTCAAGTAACATAAACGTAACTTTAACTCTTTCAGTTTTTATTCAGTTTACATGAAACATATTCAATTTATATGTACAACTTACTGCTATAGAAACTAGTGTGTTCTTAAGCACTTAACTACTGAAGGTGATTAAGATGTTTTTATTAGCTCAAGTTATATAGTTACATCACATACATTGTATAATTGATACTTTACATAATCAATCTTGGGTACAAGTTCAATATATCATTAAGTGTTCCAGTACATTTACCAGTACCAGTACACAGTACAGAACTCTGTATAGTAGTTACAGAGTTCAGCATACCTTAGCCCAGGAGGGCGAAAGTCAGTCAATGTGGGACATTCTACAATATAATGTTCAAGAGAGTGCATGTTTTCTCTTTCACAAAGTTGACACATTGTGTACTCGACATTTGGGGTTTGAGAAAGCTGCCAGATACGTCTATATCCCAGGCGTATTCTGGCCACTATAACATCACATTGCCGGGTTCTTGTTCTATTAGTTCCATATGTGAATGTCTCCTCACGATATCTATCATAATATTTAATGCTACAACTTTCAGGTCTTTGTGAATTAGTTACATTAGTAAGAGTTTCATTAGATATTTAAGTATTCTCTTTGTCACTGCTAATGAAACACCCATATCAATTTCTACCACTGGTTTTCTACAGGCTGTTTTTGCAAGCATATCAACAGTGTCATGCCTTGAGATGCCAACATGTGATGGTATCCAAAATTTAAATCTGTTTTCTTTAGCAGCTAAAACATTCATTCGAATATCACTGACTATTTTCTGGGTGTCACTGCTATGTGCGTTCAATGCCAGGAGTGCACTCTGCGAGTCACAGTATATAAGTCCACTGCCTTTGTCTTTTAAAACTTCAGTGGCAAGGTATATGCCTGCAAGTTCGGTTTGAGTTGTACTTGCCCAGTCATTGACGCGCTTCATTGCTGTATGTACGAGAGAAGATTGTTCAAATATATTACATGCACATCCGGTACATCGTCCACCTTCTCCTACAGAGCCGTCGGTATAGCACTGATACACATCGTTACCCATACCCTGAGTACTCTCAGTGATGCTTTTCAGTGTTAAATGTTTTAATAATGTAGAATGTACACTATCTTCCTTGGGTGCATTTACAAAATCAACTGATAGATCCCAGTTATCCCATGGATAAATTGGTTGATTAATCCTTAATTGAGTTGGGTACATATTTAATATTTTGATGACGTTGGCTTCCTTGTAGAACCAAAATGCATAATCATATTTCCCTCTTCTTCTATAGACCTGAGATGAGTGCAGCATACTAGAAAGTTTAGCTTGAAATTTCATATCGGACATTACCGCTCACATGATGAGGACATTACTGCTCACAGGATGGATATGAGAGACATTACCGCTCACAGGTTGGGTATGGGAGACATTACCGCTCACAGGATGAGTATCTAGTACATAATAAATAAAGTAAAGTGTAGAACAAACACGGACACACTCACCGCGAATCTGTATTCCGTGAGGACGATCGTGCAACGAAGCGGAGATAAAACTCCCGAAGGTACACTAATACCCTTCCGGACCCTTTAATACTTTATATTATTTCTCTATAATCACGAGACTTGCAAGTCTACCCGCTCAGTACGGGTAGACTTGGGCCCCCCACATACATCTCCAGAGTCGGGCCCCCTGAAGGGCCCATAGAAGGTGGGTGAGGGGCAGGTGGTAGGGGGGTATATAGTTGGTGTTCGGGAGGACTGTGGCAACGATGTTCCGGGCCCCTCCCTCATGCCTGTGGTCCAGGTGAGAGGCCCGACCACACCAACTCTCACTACCTCAC